AGCATTAAGCTCACTCTAACTAGTTGTCCTGATTTCTGAGAGCGAAGGTTAAGACATAATTAATGAATAAGCACAGAACTCTGCAAGGGAAGTTTTAATAGGGGAATTGAGGATGGAGGCGTGTTGCCTGCTGCCACCTTGTGGCAGAATTGTGTAGTTAATAAAGACTGGCTGGAAGTCAAAACACTGAGGTCCTTTAACAAATATTTATTAAGTACTTTGAAAACATCACTTGAAAGCTGAGTCAGTTTTCTCCTTATAAACAAACAAACAAACAAACAAATAAATAAATAAAAAGAATTATTATTCTACTTAAATTATTTGTTGAGACAAGCAATGATATCTTTAAAAGAAAAGTGAAATGAAATATTAAGTATTCTTTTAGAATTGCTAATGCTGTTTTACAATTTATGAGTGATGGTAAAACTTATTTTGGGGGGCTATTCCTTTTTCTCTTGATTAAGATGGTGAACAGGTGGTGACTGGTCAGAATGGGGAATGGTCAATGAGAGAAGACTCTGCCATCTTACCTTTCATCTATTCCATTTTCTAAATTCTCTAGGGTGAGGCTCTCTCTTTGGACCAGGACAGGCTACTGTGAGGATGCCAGATGGCAGAGTGAGGCTTTCAGAAAAGATTGATCTCACCAGTAGCTGGAGAATTGCTTACTTACATGGTGAGAATTGTGATTCTAGAAAGGTCTGATCTCTTCTCAGTATCTTCTCCAGCACTTTGAAGTGTGGGGTGAAGTTGGGGTGACCTAACTCACTTTTTCTGGTTCCATTTCCTTAAAATTCTCTTGGTTCTAACTACCTCTGTGTGTTGGCTACATTCTCAAAATGGTAGCAAGAAGGCTCCAAAAGTTCCAGGCCTGACACAAAAAATACAGAACACCCCCCCCCCCCAAAAAAAACTGCTTTAGTCCTAAGTATTCCAAGAAATTCACTCTGACTAAACTGTCCATTGTGGAGAATAGGGCTTTTGCTTGGGGAACGGGACTGAATTATTACAACAATCTCTGGAGATGGGTGTAAAATCAGCTTCCCCCAAGGCATATGGAATCAAGGAGGCTAAATGGATTCATGAATAGAATCCTAGTTCTGTTCTGTTAAGAAGGTGCTGGTGGGGGTGTTAACCTAGAAAAAAAAACACATTAGAGAAAAAGATCTCCAAATATGTTGAGTTTATTCAGGCCAGCCATGAATACATTCAGTGAGGGAAGGGTAAGAGAAAGCTGTTCGTGGCAAAAAGGGAGAGGTTCATGTAATCTGCTTGGAAACAGAGTCCACTGGTTTTGGAGGCTTAAAGTCAGATTTTTCATCAGTTCATTGGTGGAAATGCCGTTACTGGGCAGTTTATTCTTGGGGCATCCTATCTGAATTACTGCAGTTCTAAAGAACGTCTAGTGATAAACCTCAGCACAGAATATGTGCGAACATGCAAAGCAGGAGATGTGTGAAGGAGTTGAAAGACATGAAAGGATTTCTGGTAGGTTTCCTAAAGGTCATTGGAAACAGTTCGTTATCTCAGAAAAGTAGGCTTGAGCTCCTCTCCTTTGTACCTTTCCAAGCCATATTTTGTCTAGGTTGGACAGCAAGTGATTTCATCAATTTTCACAGGGAGAATGGATGCTGGGTAGATAATCAATAATGTCCACGAGACACTTACCTCGTATCAGCGACTGATTTATCACAATACAACACACATGTAATAATACTCAAATGAAACTCAACTAGTGCTGGGGAACTGATAAGGAGTAGCAGGAGTTATGGTAAACAGGAATGACCTGACCCATTTGTGAAAGAGGAAGCTGCTACTCTGCTATTGGGAATGTGACTGTGCAAGAATATAACTCTGGTGTTGCTAGATCTTCGACATTTTCAAGAGAGGTTGATAATATGGATTTTTATGTAAAATACTGTATTTTAAATTCTGGCAACTAAGCCAGTTTTTGTCATTGTTTTTAACCACACAGGGCCACTAATACTGTCCAAAATAAACACGTGTATCTGGTGGCCAAATACAGTCTGTGAACCTGCAGGTTACAAACTCCAAGGTAGAAGAACTTGCTTGCCATTCAGTGGTTCTGTGGATGCAAGGCTTGCCAAGGAGACCAGAGAATGAATGTCATGGTCTCACTCAATGCTTTTCAGCAAGTGGGTCCCCAAACACGAGTTCTCAGGCTTTTGCTTCACTGAAAAAACATTAAGTCTATTTGGAGCCAGTTAATTCTATCCAGGTTAGGCAAGGTGTTCTAGTACCAGGCACCACAAACACTGTTTTCCTACTTACTTCATTCACAGATAAGACCTAGCAGGAACAGGGACCAACGTCTTCACAGTACCAGAAATTCAGTGTGCATTAGGTTTCACCTTTTTTCCAAAGATGTCAAATTTTTTCTTTTTTTTTTCTTTCCTTTCTTTCTTTTCTTCTCACTTTTTTTTTTTTTTTTTTAAAGATATAGCAATCATTCTTCCACTTCTGGGCCGTTATCTGATGTCGTGAGGTAGTTTTTCACAGTCCTGCGAGGCAACAGCTTTTTACTAATATGTTAGATTAAGTACCTTCCTATCATTAAAACACAGACATTTAGTTTAACAGAGTGGGAAATAGCAGTAATTTTTTGTCATTAACTAAACATTAATGCTTAATTAGCTTAAAATAGACTAGTATTGAGATCAGAGTACTAATTGATTTGCATTTCTTACCTTTTCCCTGGCCAATTTCTTGTTCCCCAAAATCACAGAACAGTAGTTGTCAATCCTGTTTGCACAATAGAACCTAGGAGGTGGAGACGGGCTGGGATGAGGGGAACGCCTTTAGTAAAAAGCGTCTATGTTCAAGCCCTACCCTAAACTCCCCAAATGGTTCTAATGTGTACATAGAGCTGAATACAGTTCCCTGTAAGACCCGAAATCCATCCAATCCCTCAGATTTTCTCCAGACCTCTCCGTTTCAGCACGAAGGGGCTCCATCCGAGATTTTCCTGACATATCTGAGGCTAGTTCTTTGCTGCCCGGAGATGTACTGGACGACGAGCCAATGGGCAATCTGAACGAGTTACGGGAGACACAATGACAGGCAACGAAACAAGACGCTTTATCTCAGTAGAAAAACCAGATCGCAGTAGCAAAGGGCAACAAGTCAACAAAAGTCAGGGCTGTCCGTTGGGCGTCAGAGATCCGGGTACTCCTGGAGGTCTTTGCGAGGAGAGGTTGCTACGCCCACCAAGCCTTGCTAGACAGCGACGCCTATTCAGGCCGCACAGCGCCCCCGCCTACGTCACTTCCGCCCTGCTGGGTCTCGCAGTCCACCGAGCACGGTTGAAGCGACTTCCTCTATCCTTTCCCTTTTTCCTGTCCCTGGCCCCGCCTCCCGGAAGCTTCTCTCCGTCTTCGGCGTGGGTCAGGGGTGAGAGGTGGGAGGGCTGAGCGGACCTTGGTGAATAACTGCCGTGAGTTCCGCTCCGGGCGGCGCAAGTTGGAAGAACCCAGGTTAGATCACAGGGTAGGGCGCGACGGTTTTGGATGAGCCCCCGGGAACCTTCGCCTTCTCCGACTCCGGGGCCCCCATCTCCCGGGCCTGCATTTAACCGCGCCGGAGTCTGCGGTCCTTGGCCCTTTACGAGTCGGATTGCGGCGCTTGCCCAGCTCCTGTCTCCTCTCTCTCCCGGACTCAAATTCCTGCCACCGATACCCGGGTCTCCTGGAGCTTGAATTGGAAGTAATCTGGAGTCTCCGCGATGGCGGGGTTGCTTCCTAAAGTAGCCAAAGTGCTTTAGCCTCCATTCTGCTTCCTTAGAGTTCCGAAACCCTGGGAGGCAGGTAGGACAGACGAAAAATACGTTCGTCTCCATTGTAAATGGGAAACTGAAGCTCTTGGAGAACTTAACTCTTTGAAGGCAACACGGCTCCCTAACAGGTTGAACCGGGATTCGGACCCAGGTCTAAGTTCCTAGGGTTGCAGGAAATAGTGGGTAGAGCATTTGGAAATAGGGGAGAAACTGCAAACGTTAAAAGGAGAGCTGAGAGGCTGTCCGGTTATCTCAGTTGGTTAGAGCGCAACCTTATAACACAAAGGTTACGGGTTCAGATCCCCATACCGGCTAGTCTCCAAAAAAAAAAAAAAAAAAAAAAAAAAAAGAGCTGGTGTTTCTGAGTGTCTGGCATTATGCTAAGTTCTTTCTATGATTATGTCATCTCTTCCTTGTAAAAGGCTAGGAAGTATATATACTGTTGTTATTCCTAGTTTAGAAAACTGAGGTTCAGAGATGATAATTGACTTGTCCAGTATTAATGACTTAGACATTTCCCAGATCTCTATCACCTCTGTGATTCTTTCAACTGTATAACTTCTGTCCTAATCAAACTGTACTTTTTTGATTTTGGCATTTCAGGAAGTGAGATTTCTGAAATTTATTCTTGGCCTCTTCACCCTTTTTCCATTATCTTATTTTTTATCAGAATCCTATTTAGAAATCTGTAGTTGTGTAAATTCAACCTTGACTGTTACTCCACAGTTTGGTTCTTTCTTTCTCAAGAGAAATTTGAGGACGGTGTACTTGGTGTGGAGTTAATGGATCTAGGTGAAAGGGTTGGCCAGAAAAATTGCTAGTGTTTACATCATAGGTGGTCTCTCAGTCATTGTTCTCCTTGCATAGCTTATCTCATTTTTTGCCTTTTTCCTTGCAGGAATTCAGCTATCATCTTATGCCAAGATGTCAGGAATTGGAAATAAAAGAGCAGCTGGAGAGCCTGGAACATCCATACCTCCAGAGAAGAAGACAGCTGTTGAAGATTCAGGGACCACAGTGGAAACAATTAAGCTTGGGGGTGTCTCTTCAACGGTATGAGGAAACAGTGCTATGAAAGTGTGCTTTTGTTCTGTCATTTGCAACCTGAAACTAAAAACGTATGGGAGCCTTCTGGAGGAATGGGAAGTCATTTGAAAAGAAGAGGGAGATAAAACAGGTCAAAAGTAGGTGAAATGAAATGATAGTCCGTTCTGGAGGAGAGGTAGACTGACATTTGATCTTTGTCTTTAAGGGGTGTATGGGAGTATGGTACCTGATACAGCATTGACTATAGGTGTTTAGCAGTGGGAAGATGTATATTCAGTTTTCATTCACTGAAAAATTCAGTGCCAGGTTCTGAGAGACAGTGTAGCAAAATCATTGAGAGGTTGATGAGAGTACAAGTCTGAGACCAGACTGCCTGGGGTTGACTCTCACCTGCACCACTTTTTAGCTGCATGGCCTTGTGCTATCTTTCCTGTACCTCTGTTTCCTTTTTTGTAAAATGTAATTATAGTATCCACCACATTAGATTGTTGTGAGGATAAAGTGAGAGTACCTGCTAAGGGTTCAAACATTGCCTTTAACATTGTAAGTACTCAGTAAATGGCAGCTACTAATAGTTATTATTGGGCTAGATAAAATAATGGTGAATAAAACAGATATTATCCTTGCTGCTATGGGGCTGACAGTTTCTTTAGAGTACTGTATTATATACCAAAAGCTTATAGTAATGTCATATATCGATTAGATATCAAAAGCGTACAGGTTTTGAACCAGATCAAGATTCTGTAAAACCATGTCTGTTACTTATTTGATTTTGAGGCTGAGGTTCAGAGAGATTGATTTTTTTTTCAGAGTCAGAAGAACTAATAGGAACATTCATAGTAAATTGTTGTTGAAGTGTTATTTCGGAGGCCGTCTGGGGTTCTAGTACTCCATACTGTACTTGTGTTAGCACTGCATTACATCATGTACCCCAAAGACATTTATTCACTTAGTAAATATAAATATTAGTTGAGTATGTGTTATTTGGCAGACACTATGCTTTATACTGAGGACAGCCACCAGTCTTCAGTTTGTAGGGTGGAACTAACAAGGGAATAGACTGTTATAATAGAGTGGGATATGTACTGTGTATAAGGATAAGCACATGCTCTAAGGGAAGCATACAGCAAACTTCCCAGTTTGGATTTTATCCAGAGGGCAGTGAGGAGCCATTGGAAGGTCTTAAGTAGGGAAATAACATGTTCTGAATTATATTTGGAGAATAGACTATATATTAGAGGAGCAAGGGTTATAAGCAGGAGTCCAGTTAGCAGAATTGTTCCCTCAGCTCCTTCTCACTCACCACAATGCCCCAACTCCACCTCTTTAAAGGTGGGATCTGACGTATCCACTGATTCCTGCCCTAATTGATTGAAGTTGCCCTTGAAGACAATAACTCCTCCTGTGCATTTTGATGTTGCTGTAGTGAGCCAGCTGAGATTGTGGGACAGAAAAACTAAAAGACTCCAAAATGTGCTTGTGGGAACACTGGCAGTGTGAATGGAGCTGTCCATCACTGCTGTGCTGAAATCTGGCAGGCTGACAGGACATGACACAAAAGTGTTTGCTACAGAAGGCCTTTGCAGTAATCCTAATGAGGGATCATGGTAGCTTGGACCACTGTGGAGGTAGTGTTGACAAGATTTGCTGATGGATTGGATGAAGCATGTGAGAGATAGGGAGGATCATCCCAGGAGTTTGGAAGTAACGGAGTTTCCACTTACTGAGCTAGGGAGGAGTTTGAGAGGAGCAGATGTGGGAGCTGTAAAGGGTGAATCATGAGTGGGATTTGGTTTTGGACATGTAAGTTTGAGATATTTATTAGGCCTCTGAATGGTTAGGTAGTTGCGATAGTAGCCTGGACTCTGGAGAAAGGTCTGGGCTAAAGCTATACATTTGGTAATCATCATTTTATAGATGTTTAAATCCATTTAATCCAGACTGGAGACACTCTTTTAAGGAAAAAGCATAGATAAAGAAGAGGTCTGAGGACAGAGTCCTGGGCACTGTAACATTTCCCTGTCAAGGAGATGAGAAGGGACTAATCAAAAAGATAAAGAGGGACTAAGAGATAGCAGGATAATGAGAGAGAGTGGGGTCCCAGAAGCCAAATGAAGAAAGTGTTTCAAGGAGTTGATCAGGGGCTGCAGTTGCATTGAGTAAGGGAAGGACTTACATTTAGCAAAAGAGAGTTCTTTGGAGGTTTGACAAGACCTATGTTGGAGGAGTGGGGGGATGGAAGCCTGATTGCATTAAGCTTAAGAGAATATGAGAGGAGAGGAAAGGAAAAGAGGATAAAGACAATACTTTGGAGGAGTATTGCTGTAAAGTAGAACAAAGAAAATGGGGCAGTACCCATGGGGAAATGTGGGGTTTTTGTTTGTTTGTTTTTTAAGGTAGGAGATATTACAGCATGTTTAGCTGTTGAATGAAATGATTTGGTAGAGAGGATAAAATTGATGATATAGTAGAAAGAGGGGACAGTTATAGGTGTGATGTCCTTGAATAGGTGAGAGGGAATGTAATGTAATGCACAAGTGGAGGAATTGGCCTTAACTAGGAGCAAGGACAGTTTATCCATAGCAACAAGAAGGAAGGCAGGAGATATGATTTTAGATGTAGGTAGGTGGATTGTATAGCCGTGGTTATGGGAGGGAGTTGTGGGTGTTCTCTTCTGATTGCTTCTATTTTTTTCCAGTGAAATCAGAAGCAAGACTTATATGAGAGTGAGGATTGGGGAGGAAGTTTTGGAGGTTTGGAAGTTTAGAAGAGACAAGAGAAGGTATGAAGTAGTCATCTTGAAGAGAGGATGGATTAGAGAAATGTGGTAGGGTTGCTGGGCAGCACTGAAGGTCTGTGTGAATTTGCAGTCATGAATTTAAAGGGAAACTGACTGGCATGGTGCTTTATTTTTTTCTAGTCACATTTAGTTGCATGGGTCTAGGCTTGGAGTAGGTGGAGAGTTGGCTGTTACCAGGATTGGGATTTTTACCAGACATGTATGATAAAGGAGCAAGGAAGGAGAAGAAGGTATATAAAAGGGAGTGATTATAATGATTGATCATGGAATTTAAGTTCAGTAAAGAAGGAAGTGAGGAAGTGAGAGGAGTGAAGGACAGGGAAAGGTATAGGACCAGTGGACTGTAGATCCTGGAGAGGTTGAAGAATTGCTGGAGCCAGGAAACTGGAGGGAGTGAGCTGGAAAAATACATGGTAGATGTAGAGAATGGGGTGTTTGGCATTGAACTTATAGAGGACATGCAGGTACAGTTAAGACTGAGACTAAGAATAACTGTGGGAGTTGGTGAGTGAGAGAGGTAGAGGGCAAGATCATTGGTGTAGAGGAGGTCAATGACTTGCTGATCCAAGGTACAGGAAATATCATCTATAAGGAATTGAAATCATTACAAATTATGACAGGAGTAGTATTGGGGGGAATGATAAAAAGCCAGGTGCTAAATCTTCCAAAAATGTGAGGAAATAACCTGGGCATTTATAGATGAGTTCCACAAAGCAGGGTGGTAGGTAGTGTATGAGCTGCAAGCTGGGAGGTTTTAGGGAGGAAGGTGGGATTATGGCTTGGAAGTGGCAATGGAAAACGAGGACATCCTTCTGCCTCCAGGCCTAGGGCTTCTGGGAGTGTGGAAGGGAAACGGGCAACACTGGAGAAGCCTATAGGGAAACGGTGTTCTTACCCAGATTTCAGTTAAAGTGAGAATGGAAAGGCAGTGTTCGGAGAAGAGGTTGTGGATGTAGTTTATTAATAGTTTTAATCAACTGGTACCGTGGGGAAACTGTTAACTACTTTAGCATATCAGGAATGTTTTAACCAAAGTGGAAGAGAAAAAATAAAAGTAAAACCAGAAATTTCTGCTCTGATAAACAGTTCTTTAAAATATTCATTTCATTAATTCCTAGGTAATTCCTGCGATATTCCATCCAGCCCCTCTCCAGCTTGTCTTAGGGAAGGAGCTAGAAAGAGAGATTAAAGATACTGAGAGGGATGTGGAGTTACTGATGGAGTGAGGTTTTTGCAGAAACAGAAGAGAATGGGATCCTGAGCACAAGTCAACGTTTTAAAAATATGTGGATAGGTTGGTGACTTGCATGAATGGATCAAGGAGATGGGGAATTGAGGAGCTTCTTATGTTTTGGCTTTTATTTTCTTGTTGAAATAGGAAGTAAAGCCACCTGCTTAATATGATATGAAAGAGGGCAGGGCTTGATGGAGTTTGATATTGCCTCAGTGGAGAATAGGTGATAACCTACTCGTTAAAGGACAAATGATAGGATTTGTTCAGGTTAGGAATTCATTTTGTAAACGCACCAGTCTCCCTGATTTAATGACATTACCCAGAAGTGTCAGCATACTGGGTATAAGAATGGAATAGTCAGATATCTGGATTAATTCAGATTGGAGTTTGTTCACAGAGGTAGGATTAAGGACAGAGAATTGAGGAGGCTGATAGGCAGGTATTTGAAGGAATATATTATAGGATACAATCAATATATGGAAGGTAGTGGAGACAAGGGGATTGAAAGGGAGAAAGGAGAGAATTCAAAATTCTGGAGATCTAAATGAGGTGAAAGAACTGGTATATTGGGGTAAGGGCATGCGATACCTGGAAAGATGTTGTTTTATTCAGGGAACGGGAAGACGTTGGAATTTAAGACTTCAAATGTGGCACAGTTCATGCATGGCTGAAGCACAGTGGAGGAGATAATCATTAGAGTTAAAGAATTCAAAATGCTGACAGCCTAGATGCTAGAGGATTAGACAGTTTGTCCACATGTACTTGTATATTGAAGTCACCAGATATATTGGCAGGGACTGGGATAGAGAAGGACCCAGGTGCCAAAGTCTTGAATGAATGAAGGTCACTATTTAGGAGATAGATGACAGTGTTGATTGGAATAGAACCTCAAAGTAGTATTACTTTGTGGACGTACATGTGACTAGAACAGTGAGATGGGTGAGGTTGAGGTTCTAGTCTATTTATGTGTCATTCTTTTCTCACATCATCATACATCCGTTCCTCAATTTATCTGTTCTGCTTCAACTCTTTATCTAATTATTTGTTATAAGATTTTTTTTTAATGACTAGCTTTATTCATAGGAAACAACTAATGGACTAATGTGAGCTCATTGAATTTTAACAGCTCATTTGTCTAATTTCTTTGTGGAGACTAATAAGATTGGTTTCCTGGGGCAGGAAGAGTTAGACATTCGAACACTGCAAACCAAAAATCGCAAGCTGGCAGAAATGCTGGATCAACGGCAGGCCATTGAAGATGAACTCCGTGAGCACATTGAAAAACTGGAACGACGACAGGCCACTGATGATGCTTCACTATTGATTGTCAACCGGTATTGGAGTCAGGTAGCTAACTTATTTATTTGCTCAGATTTTTATCTGAGCAATTCAGTTCTCTTTGGTATTCTTCATTTCCAGAGATGTGCCCTTTTGTTTTTTCATAATTGTACCTACCTTTCTCCAGTTTGATGAAAACATACGTATCATCCTTAAACGTTACGATCTGGAGCAGGGTTTGGGAGACCTACTCACAGAAAGAAAAGCCCTTGTTGTGCCTGAACCAGAACCAGACTCTGATAGCAATCAGGAAAGGAAAGATGACCGAGAGAGAGGCGAGTATCACTACATGTCATCTGGGGTTTTTAGGTAGAGCTTTGCTTTGAGGCTCTCCATTTGAGGAAAAAAATGGATACTGATATTGCCAGTTTTGTAATTTTTGGGGGGGCTTCTTTTTTTTCCCCCCTCTATCCTCAGGGGAAGGGCAGGAGCCAGCTTTCTCTTTCCTTGCTACTTTGGCCAGCAGTTCCAGTGAAGAGATGGAATCTCAGCTGCAGGAGCGTGTGGAGTCCTCCCGCCGAGCTGTGTCCCAGATTGTCACTGTCTATGATAAATTGCAAGAAAAAGTGGAGCTCTTATCCCGGAAGCTAAACAGTGGAGGTGAGGCAAGAACCTGGAAATAGGGAACGGTGGGGAAAGAATAAGAACTCACCTTCGCACGCCAATTTGTAGTTTGCAAACTTACATATTTGATTTTAATTAAATTCCTTGTAATCCTAATCTTCACCATTACCAGTAATGTCATTACTATGGCATATTAGCATTGTACGAATGCTTCACATTTGGAGCCATGTGATAGTCCTTTAAAAAGCTGAGGAAAGATTTTATCAACCCTATTGTAATACTCTGTTAATTAGTCACTTTTGTAAGTAGCAGAATTAATTTTTACTATTTAGTAAATAGCTATGATTTTTGAACATTTGTGTATATAGGCTACTAATATATAGGCTATTGGTTTATTAATGATAATAAATACTTTATTGCCAGTTTTTTAAAAATAAATCTCCTTTCTAGGGCCGGCCTGTGGCTCACTTGGGAGAGTGTGGTGCTGATAACACCAA